ACTAATTTCATCATCATTGATCATTAACTAATTTCAACCTCTACTCCTCCTTCAATCAGCACAAAAATGACGTCCCTTCCCCATTCCATAATTCTCCTCACCCTCACCATCTCCACCACTAATCATTGATCAAAATTCAAAATCCCCTAATCACATAGGGCCAAAAATTATGGACCCCCCCCCCCACTGTTTTGGTCTTCGAAACCTGGGGGGGGGGGGAATTTGTTCTTACATTATCCCCCCGCTGTTTTGGTTTTCGGCGGCGATTGGAGGCTCGGCGGCGAGGCTCGACTGTTGACTGGCGCGACTGGAGGCGCGGCGATGGCGGGCTGTTGACTGGCACGACTAGAGGCGCGGCGATGGCGGGCTGTTGACTGGCTCGGCGATGGCGGACAGTTGGTGCCGATTGGAGGGGCGATTGGAGGCTTGGCGGCGACCGGCGAGTGGCGGGCTGGCGGCTGTGCGACGGCCGACGGCGACGAGAGGGTCTGAGGTCTCCCTGGCCCCTGCGCGCGACGCGATTAAGGAAAGAGAGGGAGTGGGATGACGGAAGAGAAGAGGGTCGGGTGACTGGGTGAGTGGTGAATCAGGTCTAGGGTTTGGGGAGGGACTAGAGAGGGGGTCGTTTTGAGTGGGGGGGGATCGTTTTGATGGGGGGTCGTTTTGAGAAGGGGGTCGGGTCGTTTAGAGGGGGGGGGGGTCGTTTAGGTTAGGCTGGGTAAAGGCTCGGTTAGTCGGCTAACCGCCGGTTTCCAACCTCGGTTGGTCGGCTAGCCGAGTCTTCTCCCCTCGCTACCGACGACCGACCGACGCAAATTAAGGACGGTTTTCGGTTAGCCGAAAACCGGTCGGTTCGGTCGGAACCGTCCGGTTAACTGCTAACCGGAAAACCGTCCGCCAGCCCTATATAATATGCCCCTCTACTATGACGTTATATCAAACATGTCCCTCTACTATTTTTTACATCAAACATGCCCCTGTATTTTGTAAAAATGATCAAACATGCCCTTTAGTTAAAATTTTCATCCGAAAACCGTTAACCAAGGCCGAACTTTAGTTTGGGTGACACAAATGACTAAAATATCCCTAATAAATTCACTTTAGAATTTTTTTGGTTCTTTTTGTATAATCAAATCATTCAAATAATTTCACTTTGAAAAGACTCAGGGAAATAAAATAGGGGACAAAACTGGCATTTTCCCTCCCATTTGTCGATGTTGGGTCGTCTAAATCTCAATTCAACCATGATTGACGATTTTTTCAATGAAAATTTTAACAGAAGGGCATGTTTGATAATTTATTCAAATCACAGGGACATATTTGATGTAAAAAATAGTAGAGGGGCATGTTTGATAAAATGCAGTGATTAGTTGTATAATCATATATTATATAAATATATAATATAAAATGCAGTGACTAATCAACTCGATTTCTACTATGATGACTATCCCAACCGTGGTCAAGTGCAACAACGATCAGGTGAAGTGTAGGGGGAGTAAAGTTTTAAATATCAACCCGATATACTATTAGTTTGCGGACTACCTTGTTATTTAGAAAATTGAATCTTCGGTTTAACTAATAACTACGAAAACAAAGCAAAGGAAAGTTTAGTAGGAAACTATAGTGAGAAAGTCACTCAGATGTTGTATCCTTCTAGTTACAAAATTGATCGACGAATGATTATCCAAATTTGTCAACTCATGATTTATACCGTTGAGAAGCCTATTCTCGATTGAGCTCCCTTTTGAATTACTCAACCTTACATAGAGCGAACTATCCGAAAGGAGAGTTTCCACATCCAACAAATAGTACGTCTAGGGCAATGCCTAATAGATTCCCTTTATTGGTATGCAATCCAATACATCATTGTAGCCCGATTTCATGCTCGATCCATCGACCCACAATGAAGATTGAGATAGGTACTTTAAGTAACCTAATTGGATCTTCTCTACCTTAGGTTAATAGCTATAATTGTGAAGAATTGAACAATACTCACGCAATTCCACAACATATAATCAAGAGTCAATCAAAAAAGGAAATCATCAATTATTCATCTATTCTAACACATAGAACAAGAATTCCACAACATCCAAGTTATAGAAATTTTAGCTTATGATGTGAGATAGAGAGATACAACAAATCAAAAGAAGCAAACATTCTAGAAGATTGAGTTCTTGTTCTTGCCACTTAATCTTCAACCCTTGGTGATGAGTTGAACTCCAATTGTAATATGAAACTCCAATTCTCACACTATCGATCTTCTTCGTTGCATTCTCACTCTACCTAACAAATGCTCTTTCTCACTCTAAGGTCCTCTCTTTGAAATCTGATTTATGCTCCTTATATAGCCAGGAAGTACAAAGTTCTTTATTACCCATCAGAACCGTGAGTTTTATAGCTAAACTGTGAGGTCGACCGGATGCACACCATTTCACTTACAATCTTCACAGTATGGGTTTGCAACTTCCTGCGAGATGTCTTCTCCTTCCTAGGATTCTACAGACTAAACGCTTTTAGTGTTGATGTCATTATCTGCAAACCGTGACATTTGCACTAGCCCGCAAGACATCTTCTTCCTCGTCAAATTCCATGAATTCTTCACGGCTTTGACGCAAATGTCTCGTCCTGGCTGTGAGAAAAATGCTTTGAGTAGTGAGCTTTGAAATTTTTATCATTTTGTCCCCTTTTGGCTCCCTTTTGTCCAACTTTCATTCATTTACCAATTTCACCGGCTAGAACAAGAAACATACTCATACATGTAAAACCTAACGTAATATGACTCCATTGACGATGAACACAAGTAGTTGCGAAGCCACAGCCACCCAAGGGAGATCGGCTGCACCCCCTTGGGCTGGCAAGCTCTGAATAGTGAGATTTGACATTGTTTTTTATCATTTTGTCCCGTTTTGGCTTTCTTTTGTCGAACTTTCATTCCTTTTACCAATTTCACCAGCTATAACAAGAAACATACTCATACATGCAAAACCTAACGTAAAATGACTCCATGGACGATGAACACAAGCTGTGGCGGAGCCACAACCACCCAAGGGAGGCCGGCTGCACCCCCTTGAGCTGGCAAGGCCCAGCTAAAAAATATACATATAACAGTTGTTGGAATGATGTTTCGAACTAGGCAAGCTCTGAATAGTGAGCTTTGACATTTTTATCATTTTGTCTCGTTTTGGATCCCTTTTGTCCAACTTTAGTTCATTTTACCGGCTAGAATAAGAATTATCATACATGCAAAACCTAACGTAAAATGACTACATGGACGATGAACACATGCAGTGGCGGAGCACAACCACCCAAGGGAGGTCGGCTGCACCCCCCTTGGGGTGGCAAGGCCCAACTAAAAAATATACATATAGCAAATGCTTGAATGTTGTTTCGAAATAGGCAAGCTCTGAACAGTGAGCTTCGACATTTTTATCATTTCGTCCCCTTTTGGCTCCCTTTTGTCCAACTTTCGTTTCTTATGCCAATTTCACCGGCTAGAACAAGAAAGTTAATCATACATGCTAAACCTAACACAAAATGACTCCATGGACGATGAACACAAGCAGTGGCGGAGCCAAAACCACCAAGGGAGGTCGGCTACACCCCCTTAGGCTGGTAAGGCCAGGCTAAAAATATACATATAACAGCTGCTGGAATTGTGTTTTAAACTAGTGACCTCCCTTAGTTCAAAAATTGTTTCAACCATCGCGCCACTTACTCCTTGTAGTGTTAATATTAGCATTTAACTTATCTTATCATTTTGTAACATGTCAGTTTACTTAAATTAAAATGACCTCGTCTATTTCCCCCATCCCAATCCCTAAGTGCTGCTGGCGACTTCCCTCCCAAAATTAGCGATCTTCCTCGTCCCACTCTCCTGTACGAAGAAAAAATTGCACAACCTCCTCCCTCAACTCGTTCATTCCTCCGCTGGTTGCTCGGGTGGCCATTGTCAACCACCGACTCCAATTCTTCTCGTTGGTGAGTGTTCTTTGAGCTTTCGATTTTGACAATAAGTCGTTTAGCCGACGATAAAAATCAATTGTTGTGTGGTGTATCCGTTCATTGGGCTTGGGGTTCTCATCCTTGCTTTCTTAACTTTGATTGGTTTTCATGTCTTGAGTTGGTTTTAGTTTAGTTATAGAGAATTAGGTTTTAGAGTTGGCTATATGGATTGGGAAATTAGAACAAATAATTGATTCATTGATTGTGAACATACTTTTGGTTTATTGTTTGATTGTGTGTCAAATATCCTATTTGATTTATTGCTTTAGAATAAATAAATGACATCATGAATGATTTTTTGGTTAATTAGATTGAGAGTGACATCCTTCATAGTTTGGATGATTAATGTATTCTAGATACTTTTCAGACTATGAAAACACGTCGTGGGTCATTGTAAAAGATTAATATAAGTTATGTTTTTTTACCCACCTTGGTATAATTCCTGGCTACGCCACTAAACACAAGTCAAACGGCCAAGAAACAGGGGTATAAAAATGTAAAATTTTGCTTTAATCACTAATACTACTAATTAAATATAAACCTTGAAGTATTAAATCTATTTTCATAGTTATAACTATAAATTAAAATTAAAGTAATTCTAAAATACTTATTAAGTTTATTAACAACACAATTTGATGGAGATGTGTCGGCAAAAATAATCGAAGTTGTGTCGGAGGTCTTGGAATTTCAATTTCGTGCCAGAAAAATCTAGGTTTCTTTCTCACTAAATTTTTGAGCTGTCTGACGCACCTTACTTATACTTGGGTCAGACCCTGCACCTTTCCTCTAAAACGTTTCGAGCGAAAGCTTTTGACTAAAGTGCTAGACTTGTAGCGTTTAAATACAAAAAGCGCTTCTTACCTTAGTCATTTTGGATTAAAGAGTTGCTTTTGTTAGTGTTTCATTAAAAGCGATGCGTTTACAAACACTTTCTCGTAAAACACGTGAAATGAGACCATTTTATGCTAAAGTCGGGCTTTCCGGTAATTAAAGTATAACCTTAGGAATTCATTTTACTAACTAGGAGAATATGAGGGAAAGTCAAATTAATCAACAAGGATTTGCAGCAAAATATTTACTAGTTAATTAACTAGTACTAGTAGCATCACTAGTATTGATATTCAACAAGGAGAACTTGACTTGCATACAAAGCTTTCCTCTTTCAACCCCTAACCTGGCTCCCGTCACCAACCAATGCCCCGGGCTATCCTGTGGGCCCTTACTCATCTGACACGTATCCACAAACTTCAACATTCTTTGAGCGTGCAGCGGCGGCGGCGGCCCCGTCGGGAACACCCCGGAATCAAGGACAACCATTGTGGCGGCCTCTTGCTCCTTGTTGGGCGAGCTTATCGCCGAGAACAGCCGACCAGATATGGGCGACGCCATGGCGAGCTCCGAGGAAGAAGGTGAAGATGAGCATTGCGATAGGGTGGCCCAGGTGGATTGGACGATGAAGCATGCGGCGACCTCGGTGAAGTGGAGGCGGAGGTGGAGGACGCGGAAGCCGCCGTGGTGTTTCTTAACGTGCAGTTGGGCGCCGGTGACGAAGTAGGAATTAGTTGCAGTGTCGTCGTGGATGACGGGGGCGGTGCATACGTGGGCGAAGTTCTTGCCGTTGATGTGTTCCAAGTAGGCGTCGTGGTTGGGTGTCTGGTCGGAGGAGTGCCAGATGGCAGAGGATGGGGTACTGATCCTGTTTGCCAGCATTGTTGGTGTGGTGGAAAGGTGTTGCAGATGTATGGCTAACCTGTTGCTTTTCCTGCCTTCCAGAAAGAATCGCATTCCAGTAACTGGTCTGCTTCCAACTACAACCTTGTCTGTATTGACGTAGAGTTTCGGGCCCATGAAAGTGAAGTGGAGAGATTGGGCCGAATTGGTCATGTTCCCGGTTGGGCCCAGTGGGAGGTCATTGTGAACGGGAGCCCACATCTTGTGGGACTGGAAGTCCAAGAAGTATTGCAGATCTGATAAAGGTGGCTTGTCTGCCACATTTTTTTTTTTTTTGTTAATACAAACATACAGTATTTAATTAGTGGGACAAATAAATGAATGAATTAAGTAAAGAGATTGATTAATTAAGGAGTTGAGAGAGAGGTAGGTACTACTAGGTAGCTTGCTTACATCTGAGGTAAAGGTTGATGGCATGGGAGAGGAAGCCTTTGCCGGGAACGCCTTTAAGGAGAGAGGTGATGGGGATGAAGTCGAAATGAATGGCGTCTGGCATTGACGCCACCGTTGGAAGCCACTCGCAGTGGCTGCTTACACTTGGATCCCCTCCTCTCCTCTTGCACATCACACTAATTCCCTGCTCTTCCCCAATAATTAATATATATATATATATGGTAATTATAATTAATTAGACCGTTGATCTAATTGAATTCTAATTATCAACCATATCTCCTCTTACTACTACATTACGTACGTACATCTTTTTCAGTAATAGCGGAGAAGCTGTCGTATGAGATAGTCTGCGGATCGAACACATTATTGAAAGCCGGATGTGCCTGCACCATTTTACATTTACAAATCAAACAACATGGCCAATTGAACACAAAACAATCTAATTAGAGGCTAGAGCAGCTGGTGAAGTACTGAAGACCATGCATATATATTTCTCTCTATTAATTATATTGGGATTTCAAATCTATAGGAGTGAGTTTGGATATTGTCCTATTTCAAATTTTGAATTTGAAATGCTTGTATATGAAATAAAATACAATCTTCAATATGAAATGTTAGCATTTGTAACATTTCAAATTCATTTATAACTTTTGTGAATTCAAATTACTAAGGCGGAACTAAAAATATGAAGGAGGAGAGGTTGGTTTTAACCGTGATAATTGATTGGGTAGAGAGCTAAAGTCTTACCGATTTTTTATGTTCTAATTTTATTACGAAATTTACATGTAATTTTGAGTGAGGCTATAACATCAAACTAGCTACACACTATCAAATTACACGCTCTTTTATTTTTTGAATTTGGAGATTGTTGGCTAAGCGCCATGGGTTCGAAAACATATATTTTTTTTAGTTATGTTTTTTTACAATTTAATACCTTAGCTGTAATTTTTTACAAACAAGTTCACAAATTTTGGTGATAAAATTACTTTTTGGGTATCTACACACATTTTCCTTGCATTGTATTGGCTGAAATTTGTGAAAAGTCTTTTTTTTTTTTTTCATGAAGGATTTCAAACACTATTTAAAATTCACAAATAATACACTAAATATACATTTAAAATTCATCATGTATATTCGAACAAATTCATATACTTAACTATCCATACAAAATGTCTGATATTTAAATTAAATACCAAATACAAAATCTCTCACCCAAATACACCCTTATTAATTTCGAAATTTCACTTCACCTCATAAAATTTGACATTTCTGTTTGTTTAGGTTGAAATAATTCATTTGTTTATTTTGGTTGAAATCTCATGATAACTTCTATCCGTTTCAAGAATTGAGGTTTGTAGTTTAAAATCCATGCATTTGGACAATCTTGCGACCAATTAATTAATTGAAAGGGTGAATGACAAAGTAGATAGGGTACCTTGAATTTGGAGGAGGTAGGTGGTCGGTTGGATTTGGGGGTGTAAGCGCAGGAACCAGTGAAGAGCTGGTGGGCGAGGTCGTCGAGGTGTTGCTTTAGGTGGGATGGGGACAGCTTGGACGACTTGTCTTGCCTCACCAGCACCACGTCGCTCCCTCCGACGCTCAACCCTACGATTATGTGTGTCCCATACTTCTCTATGAACCTGCATTCCATTCCATTCCATTCCATATATAATCCGCATCAATCTCTTCAATTCTAAGATAAAACAAAACTAGTATGAGATTATGACTTGCTTTCTTTCATTTTTGAACAACGTTTATAGTTTGCTCGTTACCCTATACTTATAATTTCATTCAACAGAGTGTATCAACAAAATTATCATAAAAAGAGTTTCTACAACTATGATATATGATGCGGTTTCATATTTGATATCATGAACATTTTCTAAACAGTATTGGCTGTCTAAACTATCAAGATGTCACTTTTGATGTACCGCACCAAATAATCATTCACAATTTCACTTTTCTTGAATTCGCTAGCTGATTTTATGTTTCAATGCGAAAGAATGCTTTTCAACCCTTGTTTTAGCAAACTGTAACATCAAACCTACTTCTGCAAGAAAATACGTACATGAACTAGACATGACCATGGGTCGACCCATGGGACAGTTTCACCCAATTGCCATGCCGCATACGAGTATTGGGCCGGACACAAATGGACCCATATACATTTTTCATGGTTTTTGGGTTTGGGTTGGGTTTGAAATGAATCCTATTTTTGTCAATTCGGGTTAGACCCAAATAAGTGTACTTGGGTCTAGATGATTGTATACACAAAAGACAATATCAATCATTACATTAACGACCTTCAACGCAATTATACACATTTGGTGTAGGTGTTTCCACATTTCTATCTGTTTCATAACAAAAAATAAGACAAAAATTCATTATGAATGATTGGGTACCCATTTTCTTTTTCGACTTCCAACAATAATGGCCCAATTTAGGAGCACTTCTACTATGCTTTAAAGTATTGATGCTTTAAAGTACAATTTGAAGTTGTTCCATAACGTCAAAAGTACAAATTAAAGTTATAGCATAAAAGAATTTGACCTTTATGTTATGGTACAATTTCAAATTGTACCATAAAAGTAAAAACTAAAACAACAATGTTTTAAAGCAGTGTAAAATTCTTTCCAATTTAGACCCAAGCTAAAATATTAGGTATGATTATACTCGAAAAGCAAAATTACCAAATTTGATCTGACCCATAATACGTTGGATTTTGAAATTGTCCAAATACTAGGTCTTTTTGCAATATCTACATATATGTACATCTATGAAAATCCTATAATGTTTTCTTGCAACTATTATTGTCATAGTTAAAGTTAAGTATATCAATTTTGAATCTCGTATCCATCTCGACAAAGTGGAATCTATTAATGTATAACCTAGAAAGAAAGATTAATTCACATATTTGGTTGCGATTTGACAGTAAAAAAATTGTGCAGATAGCATTAGGGTTCAGAGCTCAAACATCATCCAGACATATTAATACTATTAGTGTTTGGTATTCTTTTCCCAAATCAAGACATGGACACCCTTCGAACCCTCTAGCTACACCCCTGGATCTATTACTATTTTGTTCAAATAAAAGTACAAATATATTCAAAATGCTTTATATGAGTATAATATTGACCAAAAGTTGTCGACAAACCGTAGGTTGGCAGTTTGACTACGGTAAAGTGATCCGTACGAAATTTTTTTAATAACATTTTGTATATACGGTTTCGTTCTGATTGATGTTAGATTATTTTGTTGTCCGGACATACTATTCCAGTATTGTACCATTGATCACATGGTTAGACTTAGGTGTGCATGTGAAACATAAATTTCATTTTTTATTTGTAAATCTTTCATTTTATTTCTCATAACTTTTAATCACACGATATTGCTTAAATCTTGATTATTGGGAATTATATGTATTTCTTCAACCGATGAGAATTAGTAAGACCGATTCTCTTCAGAAGACCTTCAAGCACCCAGAGCTGTACTGTTGGGTGCAGTGAAGCACAATTTGATCAAAATAATATTTGGGTGTATTTTGACCCCAAAAATTAACAATTATATAATTATTAAGTGCAAACAAGGAAAATATGGCTGGAACTGAAGAAGACTTGGTCCTCCGCCTACCACAAATGCAAGGAAGTAAGTAGGGGAAATATGATAGGATCTCTTATATATATGCAAAATATCTTAATATGTATATTTTTCTTTTTATTTTAAATAAGGAAAAACAGAGAGGGAAAAAGAAAGTCTGACGCGTTTTGTTAGATATTGTAGGTGACCTGTGAATCACACGGAATCTTGCTTAGATAAATAAATAAATATCTGTTATTATTATTAACTAAGAACGTGATCAAGTGGTTCTTCTAGTTCTTGGAAGAAGTCTTTCATTACGCGTCCTGGTAATTTCGTATTTTGTAGTTGTATTCTAGCAAAAACACAGCTTCCTATCTGCTATCAAAAAAAAAAAAAAAAAAACACAGCTTCCTATCTTTTTTCATTTTTGGTTCTTGGAAGAGAAAATGGTGGGATTGGCTTTATTTTATCGTGGTACGTTGACCAAGTATTGGAGGAAGAAGCAAATTAGCTACCGACTTAAATGAGAAGGCGATGTTAGATGTAGACTTGACTTTCTTCTGCTTAGAATTAGAATGACTATTTACCCCGCTGGCCGGGCAATACTTTCTAACGCTGGAATAGAACTTCCCAACAAAAATTTGACCAACACAAATTGAAAAATTCGTTATGATTCAACAAAGTTGTTTGGGTCTTGTTGAATATTCTTTTTTCTTTTCACAAAGCGGTGGCTTTAGAAAGACCAAAGTGTGAGACAGAAGGTAGATATCATGGTTGTCATGCCGGTGGCATGCCACCCGGTTGAACCTGGTTCAACCTGTGCCGGTCATGAAATCGGCATGACACCACCGGTATGACTGGTATGATCGATTTACGTATTCTAAGCAAATTAACATCATTTTAATGAATTTAATTAATATAAAAATTAATTTATCATTCATTTTATGAATTTAATAGTTAAAAGTTGATGATATTTGTTGGATTGTAACTTAATTGTCCACAAATATGTTTTATATATGATTAAATACATTGAATATTAATTGTTTTTACACTTTTTTAAACCGGCACAAACTGGTTATACCACCGGTCGTACCATTCCACTTGTCAAACCGGCACAACGGTATAAACCGATTTGACAACCTTGGTAGATATATATTTGAAGGGAATTATTTTAATTAAGAATTATGATTCAATCAAATAAAGTAGTTTTAAGTTCTGAAACGGGCGGTCAATGATTTTGTATCTAGCTGTATTTCAATATACATAGAGTACACACATATATATACCAAGCCAAATACAGAAACTAACTATTAATTGTTATCTATTTCCCTACGATCCATTAGAAATGTAACTAATGTGTTCTCGATGAATGGTTACGAATGGAAATCAAACAAGAAAAATTCTTTGCTTAACGGTTTTTTGGTGAATTATTTCGATTAACAGCCCAATTAGGGTTTCATGGGGTGGCTCCGTTATTCTTAACCGGTCCAATTAACCCATCCAGAATGACCCGGTTAGCTACCTTGCTTGCTTGTGCATGAGCAGTGGTCTCCTATGTGTGGGAGAATGGACAAGGAAGTCAAAAACTCTATTAACTATAAAATATTTAAACATTAAAATTTCATAAATTCACAATTAAAAACAGTAATATATAGAATTTATGATTTTAAGGTCTGAGCTAAGTGAAGTACATAAGACTGACTGAGTTGGATTTCATAGGCAAAGTGGGCGATCAATTGGAGTGTCACCTATCCAAAACCAACGAGAAATCGAATCCCGATTCCTCTGTCTTTTACTAGTTTTCTCTAATAGCCATAGCCTCACTCCATTGGAATTGTTGTCATTCTAAACTCTCCGCAATATGCTCCACTACAACTAAGAAGCACCATCGATCACCAAATTTATCTATGTTCAATGTCACATTGTCCAATGAGAAAACTAATGATAATGAGGATTTAGATGCAAATATTGTTACTAACGACTTAAAAGGGTGATATGTATTCCATTATTACTCAGGAGATGCATTGTAAATGTAGATGTTAATAGCATTAGAGTAACTGAAAAGGTATGCATAGGCATGACGTTAAAGTGAGATCAAATGTACAACCATGAAATGACAAGGAAGTAGCAAATCTGCAGGTAGGGTTGTACTGAGTCGGGGGCAATGTGTACATACCGCAATGCATTGCAATACTATTTTCAGAAAGTGATTTGAGGATTGGGACCTGATCGAGACTGGGAGTGGGAGCTAGAGATCAATTATATTATATTATATTATATTATATTATATTAATTAGCTGGCGAGGTAATGTCAATGAGTCGACGTCGTCTTCCCCGCACACTAACTAACCCCGTTTGCATTGCGTGGAGGAAGTGGCAACTAGCTTAATTATTTGACATGAAATTAGATGAAGAGTAGATATTATCCACGCGTTTATATACGTTCTGTTGAATTTACAAATTAGCAGCCTGTAATAGGAATAGGAATAGGAATAGGAATAGAGAGGGAGAGAGTAGTACTAGTACTAGTAATAGTAATAGAGTAAATAGTAATTTAGTATGTATGCAGTGAAAAAAGGTTTGGGTGGCGTACCTGGCAAGCGCAGAGGGATCCCAAGCAGAGGGCACCTGGTCTCGGACCTGGTCCCGGAGGCGGAGCGGGTATCGATGGATATGAACATTAAAGAGAGTGATGTAACAGGCATCCAGCCCCAGCAACTTGGTGTTACGGGCGTCGGGTCCCCACGACCCGCTCTCGAACCCGAACATGGAATTGAAATGCCCCGACGGTATCTTCCCCGACACGGAACACCTGTGGTTGAACAGCTCCGACATCTGCCCGAATTCCAGCACGTCCGGCCTCAGCCTCACCCGCTCCCCCTTGTCGCACCGGATGCAGCCCGCCGCCGCCGCCACCACTCCGTACCCGGGGATCGGAAGGTCCCTCCTCCCCTGCGCCTCGTTCAGCTCGACCAGCCGCCCCCCCTCCTCGCCTTTGCAGAATTTGAGCTTCAAATCGGCGGTCAGGTCGAACCCTCTTCCCAAGCTCGCCACCGCCCTTTCCGCGATTCCGCCCCCCGCCGCCATCCTATTCCTACCTTCACCGTCCGGGTTCATGCCTTCATGGGGTTGTTTTTGTTTTTGTTTTTGTTTTTGTTTTGGACACACCAATTTTGCCTATGGAAGGAAGATAGAGGAGAATATGATATTGATAGATATATAAGAGAGGACAGAGGAGGCGAGAAGGAGGAAATATCGCCAAATTGTTGGGCTTAATTTATAGGGGCAGGTGCTTTCCAATGAGATACACATCCAATCCAAGACATTAACTTCCATCTTTGTAAACAACGTTGAATATTTGTGTGATCAAATTTTAAATGGCTAAATTACATGTTTGGTCACTCAAATTATATAAATCTTTCACGTTTACCACTCGAATTACTTTTCTTTCTTATTCGCCACTAACTTTACGAATCGTTTCACCGTTGGTCACCGACCGTTACACTCCGTTAACTTTGTCCTACGTGGCAGTCAACTATAAAGTTTGACTGTTAACTAGATGACGTGGAAATTAAAAAATTAAAAAAATTAATTTATTTTCCACCTCATCATTTCAGTTTTCTCATACTAATTATTTAATAATAATTAATTAAAAATAATATGATAAATAATTAATTTTTATTTATTTATCATGACCCTCACCACCATCATCACACTCCCGCTACTCCTCTTCCTCTCAGTATCAACCCCAGAGGAGTTATATATGTTTTTAGTTGGGTTAATACCTCATTTTGGCCCGAACTATTACCATATAATCAACTTTGGCTCGTGCTTTCATAAATTAACATCCTAGCCTCAACTATGCAACATATAGACTCAATTGACCCGACACATAGTTTGACCGTCAATTTGGACGGTCAACTCCGTTGACCGTTAGTCAACATGCCAGGTCATTGCCTAGTCAGCATAAAAATCATAAAAAAATTCAAATTCAAATTATTTTCCTAATTTCTATTATTTATCATTTTCCAATTAACCAAAAAATAAAAGTCTAAAATTATAACATAATTTTTTTGGGATATTTGAAAATGATAAATTTTATAAATTAACCAAAATTATCAAATTAAATTTTATAAATTTAAAATTTATTATATAAATTATATTTTTTGGGAAGTTTTAAAAATATAAAATAATTTGATAACTTTTGGTTAATTTATAAAATTTATCATTTTCAAATTATCCAAAAAATAAATTTATTTTGTGTTTTTTATAATTTATTTTTGGTTAATTTGATAATAAAATTTTTTTTAAATGATTTTTAGGCTGACTAGGCAATGACATGGCGTGTTGACTAACGGTCAAAGGAGTTGACCGTCCAAATTGACGGTCAAACTATGTGTCGGGCCAATTGAGTCTATATGCTGCATAGTTGAGGTCAGGATGTTAATTTCTCAAACCACGGGCCAAAATTGATTATATGGTCATAGTTCGGGCCAAAATAAGGTATAATTTATTTTGTGTTTTTTATAATTTATTTTTGGTTAATTTGATAATAAATAAATTTTTTAATGATTTTTAGGCTGACTAGGCAATGACATGGCGTGTTGACTAACGGTCAAAGGAGTTGACCGTCCAAATTGACGGTCAAACTATGTGTCGGGCCAATTGAGTCTATATGCTGCATAGTTGAGGTCAGGATGTTAATTTCTGAAACCACGGGCCAAAATTGATTATATGGTCATAGTTCGGGCCAAAATAAGGTATTAACCCTTTTTAGTTTGATTGAATTTGATGCAGGAATGTACAGATACATTGGCTGGTAGTGGTAAGCGAATTTCGGCTGTTATCTTATCTGATCTCAATTCATAACTGCCATGTATTCTGCTGACTTTTGTTGGTTTCTGTGGGGGGCGGAGCTATTTTGTGTTGTGCTAACAGTACCATTTATACCAATTACCAACTGCGTTTCCTTTCTGCCCTGCTCCTGCTGTTGTGGACAAAGTTGTATGGTCTCCACTTTTTTCCCATAGCACACTATATAGCCCCAGAATGATTATCAGTGCCCCTACCAAGCTAAGGCCACCAGAGCACAAACAAAACAATTGCTTCATCAATATCACGAAGTTGCTAAGAGGAACCGCCAAAAAAGAAAAACACAGGTACAAGGCAAGATTCACCTGCAAAGATGAAGTTGCTTCGCGAAAGCAATGGAAGAGAATGCCCCTACGATCACGAGAAGCAGAGGACTGAACATTGCAGCAAATATAGGACCCTTTTTGCTGATACACAATGTCTGCAGGTAGTACACCAATGTCGATATCACCACCCCCTGCACTCACCTCAATCTTGATTCAGATATCAGCCCGTGATAATTCTAACGTATGGAGGGTAAGGTAGGGTAGGAGAAAAACAGACACAGTATATGATAGTCGCGAGCTCCACGTTCTCCATATTGTGCTTACTATATGGGTTTGTGCAAAGGGTCTTCACCTTGCTTCCTCAAACTAACCCCTGTTGACGAAAGAACTGTACCTCCCCTGCTTGCTTGCTTTGGCGACGGAGATATCAAACACCAGCGGACAATTGATGGCTTCTAACGATCTCACGATGCCCACTTCCTGCCACGTAGCGTCGCCGGCAAATGGAACGCCGGCTACACCCGCTCCAGCTGCAACGCCACGCCAGACGTCTACTACACCTCCCTCTCCCGCTACTCCAGCACCGACCTCCGCGCCGCCTCCGCCCTCCACGACTGCCTCTCCAACCTCGACGACGCCGCGGAGGAGATTTGCGACTCCCTGAAGCAGATGCGGCAACTGGGCGCGACGGGGGCGTCGGGGGAGACGTTCCGCTTCCAGATGAGCAACGTCCAGACGTGGATGAGTGTCGCGCTGACGAACGAGGAGACCTGCACGAACGGCTTCCGGTCCGGGGTGTCGGGGGAGGCCAAGGCGGTGTACGCCCGTGCCGCGGAGGCGAAGAAGTACACCAGCAATGCGCTTGCGTTGGCTAAACGGAGGCCGAGGACATGTAATTTATTGATTTTTTAATAAATAATAATATGATAAAATATATAGATAAAGTAAGTGGGATGATGATGTGGAAAATATATTTTTTAATTTTTTTAATTTCCACGTCATCTAGTTAACAGTCAAACTTTATAGTTGACTGCCACGTAGGACATGTTGTGAGAAGCTTGTCAATGCTCGGTCATGCCAACTGCAAATTCATATGCGAAGAAGGAAAGTTTTGAGCAACGGTTGAAATCATCCTAACTAGGAAAGTGTGTGAAAATCAAGAAAGGAAGATCGAATCATTCAAGAGGAGATCACGAGGCAACGGTCGTCAGAATTAGACTATTTAGCTAATTGTAACTTCATGGACAGAGCACTTTTTCCAGACTCTGTCTTTGCAAGCACAAAAGAAAGTACTGGTGTTGAGAGATAGAGTGAGAAGAGAAGAGTCAGTAGCAGTTGGGGAAATTGCTGGTAGAATAGCGGGTATTCTTGATAGGGTTTGCGGGGAGTGAACTATTTCTGAGTCTGATCGGTGACGGAGAGTTGCCAGGAGATTGACTGTAAAGGGTTCGGCTGTCGTGATTCTAGTGGAACGTCGAAGGTCTCAATTGAGATACTTCGACTGTGGATTAGTCGGTACTAAATCAAATAGTACCGGATACCACGTAAAAAGTGTGTTCTTGCAGTGTCAATTTGATCTAGGTTAAAGTTGTTTGGTGTAGTTGGTTACTCTGTTTTGCAGACACCTCGGACGAACAGAGGAGGCAGTCGAAGTACAGGGTTGAACCATAATCAGTCTGATTGAAGAAGCAAGGAGCGGGCTTGAAATTGAACAGCGGGCCTGCCGCGGGCTAAAGCCCATTTCTCATTCACTTTGTTTCTGGCCCATTCAATTCAGTGATTGTTTTCTTTTGATTTTTGTCACTAACGTTTTGCAATCGACTTTCAACCATTCCCAAATTGATTTTCGCAGAACCAAATTAGGGTTTCCTTCGAGAGAAGCAGGAGAGAATCTCGCGCTCGATCCACCAACAAGTGGTATCAGAGCCGGGTCGTCGACGAATAAGGCTTAACAACCTCCGACGAGAATGGGTTCGAGCGCAGGCAATGGAAATGGAGTTTACATGGCGGACGGGTTCTCGCAGACGCGTCCCCCCATGTTCGAGGGCGTTAACTATGGATACTGGAGGAATCGAATGGAGCTGTTCATCGGCTCCACAGATCCTGATTTGTGGAACATCGTACTTGACGGACCGCTGGAAGTCAAGGAAGTGAGGGGTAGGTGGTCCGAACAGGACAAGAAGAATTTTCAACTGAACTCCAAAGCCACAAATCTGATGTACTGCGCCTTGGGGCCTGAAGAGTATCATCGAGTGACTGGGTGCAAGTCGGCCAAGGAAATCTGGGATAAACTCCAGATTGCACATGAAGGCACATCCCATGTCAAGATCTCGAGGATAAACAGCTTAAAGCAAGAGTTCGAGTCCTTCGTTATGAAGCCGGATGAATCTATCAAAGAAATGAATGATAGATTCATGAACATCGTCAACAGTCTCAGAAACCTGGAGGTCGATTATCCAAGTGGTGATTTGGTAAGGAAAATCCTCTAGGCTTTACCCAAAAGATGGACACCAAAGGTCACAGCCATCGAAGAATCGAAGGATTTGACTAAGCTGAGTCTCGATGAGTTGATGGGATCGCTGGTAACTCACGAAGAGAAGCTCAGAAGAGAAGAAGGTGAAGATTCACGAAGAGAAAAGAGAGGAATTGCATTCAAAGCAATTTCTCACGGAGATGAACTGGACACATTTGAAGAACTCGAAGACGAAGAGCTGGCACTGCTCAGTAAGCACGTGGCTAAGCTGCTTCGACTTAGGAAGGAGAGGAGAAGAGGAGCTCTGGTCAACAAAGTGAAGGATGCAGGCAGCGAGAAGGATCAACTCAAGTATTCCAGAATGAGTGGAAGGAAGAATACTGATGACAGATCAAGTCCTCAGGGAGGATGCTTTAAATGTGGACGCACAGGTCACATTAAGGCAGAATGTCCTCAGCTGAAAAAGGAACGAGCGTATACAGCCACCTGGAGCTGCAGCGAGGAAGAAGAAGAGGATTCAGATCCAAGTTGTAAGCAGGAAGCCTTCATGGCAATTGACAACAATGATGAAGAAAGCGATGCACCTAAGGTAACTCTGCCCAATTATTACTCTGATTACTATAGTGAAAATGATCAGATGATTGAAACGATTAGAGAAATACAAATTGAATTTGGGAATGTCAAGAACAGACACAGCAAACTAAAAAGGGAGCATCTTGAATTACAAGAAAACTATCAGAAGCTGTTAAATGAAAAACTTGTTGTTGACTTGGAG